TCTCGAAGTGTAATTCTAAATGAAGAAATCTGCATTAACTACAATTTAAAATAATCCTATTTTAAGATGTATGCATTTTCCATTAGGCGTTTAATAAGTTACTAGTGTATGTAATGTGTACATCAGATTAAGAGATGCAAAAGTGTTAACAAATGAAGAACTAGATTACTTAATCGAAATTATTTCTCGTTCTGCTTAGAATTTGCCACGACGAAGGATGATAATTCAGTGTTTGAATAATTTGATGTGTGCGTGAATTGAAAAATGTGGTGCGTGTACGACCACTCGAAAGTTTTAAATGCTCTTGTATGTTCTTATATTATTTGACACTCCAACAAAGGCAGAAATTACAGCAGGGAATTCTATCAAATAACATCAGAATGTTTTCGCCTGCTTAAGGCACTAAACTGGTATACGCCCCGATAGAAATTCTATTCATAATCACAAAACTGAATAATACTGCCCTCCGGTAAGGGAGGCAGCAGTCAGCGTCATGAACCTTCTATTGTGCTCTGAGTTACTCTCTTACAAAATTGGAATTATGTCAGAATCCGGTCCTTTGTGTTCGTATGATTTTCCGACACTAACTTGACTCCAATATAACAATTACACGCCTGCTTCTACACAGCCATTGTTGTTTCTACGACTGTTATCTGCTAATTCAGCTGTCCGTTCACATTGTCACTATATCGAAATGCATGACTGATTTACTCCATTGTAAAGTGTCCTCGAGAAGTTGATACTCGTTCAGCTGTTCAGAAATTAACCGCCTGTACGGATACCGAAGATCCAATAATATATTTCCAGAAGCCAACAACTGCACAACATCCTCACTCCCTCTTCGTTTAAGATTTATTTTAATATTATTCTTCAGTCTACACTCAGATCTCAGTTTGGTCTCTTTTCTTTCTCTTCTTTTCAAGTTTTTTTTTATTGTTAGTGGGGTGGGACTAAGTCTCTTGTACCGCGGCCACTTCTGGCCTATTGTACCAGCCCCAGATGATAGGTGAGGGTGATTGTAGAGCAATTGGTGGAATGAAGATTGGCAGGGGAAACCGAAGTACTCGGAGAAAACCTGCCCCAGCGCCACTTTGTCCACCACAAATCCTACTTGACAAGACCTGGGATCGAATCCGGGCCGCCGCGATGGGAAGCAAGAGACTAACCGCTTGAGCTATGGCGCGGCCTTCTTTTCAAGTTCTAGACCGACGTTTTTTCTCATATTCTCATTCCTCACTTAAGGCATTTGTTCCACCACCTCACCATTCTTTCTTTGATAGGTCCGAAAATAAGTATATATTGAACAATACAAACCATGAACCTCCTTCGTACTGCAAAGGGAAGAATTTTCAATAATATGTTGCCTGTGCGAAATATACACTTGACGAAAGGCTAAGTGTATTCATAACAGACAAGTACAACTTCTCGTCAGAGAGAATGTTACATAAGGATTATTACCGCAGCAGTTCAGTTAAAAAAAAAAAAAAGATCTCTGTTCGTGGTCCTCAAGGGGCCTGACGCCATGACGAACTGATTGGCGGTAAACCTCCAGTCGTAAAGTAACTATGACTTTGACTTTGAACCTCCTACGCTTCCTGTTTTCATCATCTCCCTAATACTTTCTCTCTCTCTCTCTTAGTTAACAACATTCTCCTCGTCACTTCGTACCCATACTCCCTCAATATGCGTCCTTCTGTTAGTGTGAAGAGCCAATTGTCACGTCGATACAAAAAGAAAATTACATTAAATTAGGACATGTGGTTCTCACAGCGTTGGCTATGAAGAGTTCTATCTCCTGGGATATAAAGCCGTGCATTTCATTGAAAGTTAACAGGCGTTTCGGCATCGGTTGATTTTTAACTGACTGCACGGCCTTAAGTCCCAAAAGATAAAACTTTTTACATTAGATTAGTCTACATCATTACATTACGAGTATATTATTGAAGCGATCATTCCGTTCTTAAATGGGAGAACGGTCGACAATATGTTGATTTAAATTGTAGCAACCGGTGCCCGTATGTTCCTCCAACAAGAGCACCTAGTATTCCAACCTCTACAGGTTTTGTACAGGGACTGTACATTCACTGTCTTCGGGATGCTGCAGTTTTGGTTCTTAAAGGCCCAAGCTAACCTCTGCTTTGCATGAAAAAGGTAAAATAGTAAATCTATCCCTGTAACAGACCGTGAAGGCCCATAGGGTTGCGAGACGTCACGGCTCCCACATTTTCTAGACATTCGGCGCACAGATGACGGTAAGTTTATCAGCCTTACGCGCCGGCCGCCCTTATTCCCAAAGATGACTGCTGGTACTCATTTCTGTTGGAGGCTGAGTCGACCCCAGGGTCATAGTGCGGCTGGAAGGATTAGATAAATTGAAAAAATCCAATGACATCGGGACTCGAACCCTATACCTTCCGGCTTGTAGCATAATGCTACCAACTACGATACCGCGTTCCCTGAAGCTGGAACTAAAATTTAAACCCATATATAATATCAAAAATAACTCATCGTAACATCACCACTGCTTCTTTCATTACGAATTTCAGCGGCTTATCATAAAGAATTTGAAATACCATATAGAAACATAGTACCTTGCAGTAGGAGCCTATCACGAGGCAACTGTGAGCTTCAAAGTGGCTTTATGTTTCACTATAGACATTTCACTATTCGGCCTTTGCTCATCCAGCGATGAATTTCTTTGGTGTGTCTATCTCGGATTTTCCGATTTTTCTCAATCCCGATACTCGCTTCTCAGAACTTTCATTCCTCTCCTTTATTCGCAACGTGGGCTATCCCATGATCTAATCTCCAGACTGGTGAGATCCGGCGTCGCAACACATACGTATATTCATCTTCTCAGAGGAACTCTTAACTCGCGATCTATCACTGACTTCGTCTAAAACTTCTCAGCCCTCAGTATAATGAATTCTATCTTTATGAATCTTTATTACATTTCGTAACTTGCAGTTTTTTAAGCAGTTAGGCCCCCGCCCAACTCTACAGCTAGAGGACTGCCTTCTGTCGGCTGTCCCAGACTGCTTGTTCAACAGAATTACAGATATTCTCCGTATATGAAGGACATCTCAAGATCATGCCGCGGGTGTCAAGCCGCCAAACACACAGAACATGAAGCTATCCTTAAAAGCTGATACATGTTTGTCAAAAAAGTATGTACTGAGGAGCCTAAACAGGAAATAAATAAGAGCCAGATAGTGACACAAGGCTGAGTATTTTCCTAAGGAAATGGGATTTTGCAGTGTTGAGAAATATTACATTTCCTGTTTCAATTTGTTCGGTAGTTAACAGATATCAATGGAACTGTCCGGGAAAGAAAACGAAAGAACACACAATACGGGGAATTAGTTTATGCCATCTTGTGACTCTAGATGTAAGAGGAAGCAATGATACAAAGTAGCCGTGTTATTTCAGATGTTTTGAAATTACTTCCCACAGCAAGAAGTAAAATTTCCCTCTTTATTCGGCCTGTATGATGTCACTAGATAAGTGAATATCTCCGACCGATGTTCTGTTGTTCATTAAGGCCGCTCGATCGTCGAGGAAAACAGGCACGGCTGAAGAGCTGCTTCTACTTTTTTGTAATAAAGCAGACAGGAAATGATTGAAGGGACCCGTGGGATCAGATCATCGACAAGTCTCTTGTCAACATAGGAAAATGCGAACAAGCATTCTTTCCCAGATCGTGTTCCGAACCGACGATCCATATTGTGTAGGTGGCCTCGGACAGAGAGGGTACAAGCTCCATTTGCATGGACTTTTATAATTGCATGGAATGGCTGTGTTAATTCCAATCAAATGAGAAAGTTGGCATTCAGATGGGAACTGATCCTCGCACTTTTGTGTCCGACAAGGCCCAATAGGGTGATGCTTAGAATCATCAACAATGGCCCGTACATCTCACTGAACCGTCGACCAAGTATTACATGATCGTTTCTCGGCCAGAGCAATTATTTTTCATTTATTCATAATTAACATATGACCGATTTAATTTAAATATTAAAATTCTGAATAACATTTGGTTAAAATTAGTAGTTCTTTCTTATTCTTGTGGGTGACGTTACAAACCCGTTGTAAAAATAAAAGTAAAAGTATCCCTGTAACAGGGCGTGGAGGCCCATAGCGTTGTGAGATATTGAGGGTTCCACATTTTCTCTAGAAAATCGGCTCATAGATGGAGGTAAGGTTGTCAGCCTTACGCGCCGGCCGCCCTTCACTCTCAAGAACATTCCAAGAATATTCCTGGTACTCATTTCTGTTAGATGTTGAGTCGACCCCAGGGCTATAGTGCGGCTGGAAGGATTAGGTAAATTGAAAAAATCCAATGACCTCATCAGGATTCGACCCCGCGACCTACAGACTTTAGCATAGTGCCTCAACCAGCTACGCTACCGCGTGCCCCACGAACCTGTAGTATGTAGACCATACGGCTACGAATGATAGGATGACGTAGAATGATGGATTGAAAAGATTTGGTAGGAAGCGGTCGTGGCCTAATCAAAATATATCCCGGAAATTGTCTCGAGGAACTGAGAATACCGCGAAGAACCTCAATCAGGATAGTTGGTACCTCGGTCAAGATTCGAACCGAGTACTCTCTAGTATTTATTTGAGCAGCCTCGCCCTATACAACAGTTATGGAATTTCTTATTAAAATTCTGTTACCTTCGGTTCAATAAGCAGTATCTAATAAACAGGAAGCCTAATTGGTCATTATTTCTATTTATTTTTGCTCGGCTTAAGTATAATTAAGACTGTTTCCTTGAAGCGAACTCAACACCATATCAGACATCACCTACATTTCTAATATTGAGATTCAATACTGTGGCAGTGTTATCTTTTTCGCATCGTCAGTTTACTGTACTGTTAAAGTAAGTGAGCCAGAGAAATAGAAAAGGCACTAGGTCATTGTTTCTTGATATCATGCAGCAACAAAGCAACAACATGAGTTCACAACAATCCATCACCGTTATAAACAGACTTACCTCTTTCTTCACGTTCCGAATCAACTTCTCTTTGAAATCGCTATCTGCAAAAGAAAAGAGAAATTAAAATTAATTAAATTCGTTTAGTGGGGGTGGAGTCCAACTGGGTCCACTCGGCACGGCGGCCACTGATTGGCCTATTGTAGCCTGCCCCGGATTATTATGATGATGGAGAATTTGGTGGAATGAAGATTGGCAGGGAAAACTGAAGTACTCGAAGAAAAAATCCGCCCCAGCGCCACTTTGTCCACCACAAATTCCACTTAACCAGACCCGCGATCGAACCCGGGCCGCCGCGGTTGGAAGCCAGCGACTAACCGCTTGAGCTAAGGCATGGCCAAAGAAAAGAGAAACGTTAAAATCAATGTTTTTCTATGTGAATATTATATAATAAACAGATAACGTAAAAATATTTATTTACATTTTAGAAACATGTTATATTTTTAACTTGGTCCATTCTGCTCCGTCACACTAGGAACTGTATGTAAGAATTTTAACCCCCGTCCAATGTGATTAATAAAAATTGTGTTTTTAATTTTTCATCCTTTACATGTTTCGGTCAAAACGATCATCTTCAGAAGGATATTATCAGCACATATGGAAATTACTATTACCATGTCATAGNTTAATGGAAGATGAATATATTCCACAGCGCGGTTTCCTTGTCTGATGACGAAAGCTCTTCGGTATTGTGGTCCAATTATTCATGATACGCTGTGTTTATTATATTTTATTTCACACTCATAAATTTATGTCGTTATACGAGAATAATATCTTCCTCTAAAATCAAATACGAGTTATATCTGATATTTCATTTGCTGCCTTTCTGATTATACGCGCCTTGGGCGGTTTTGTGAACATTCCCATTAATATCGTCAAACAGTAATAACTTTCATCGCCTATGTGATGACGGCAATTGCTTTTTTAATGATTTATAGTATTCTCTCCTAGTATTCACTAACAAGTCACACATATCACTGTTCATTTTCCTTTATCATAAATAAAAATAAAACAGTATGATAGGATCGTTGGGGTAATTTTTGGGACAGCAGGGATCCTAGCACAAACGTATACGAGTATATTTAGATTCAAGTCTGCTTCATGGCATTTTCTACTATATATAACCTAAGGGTTTATAACAAATCAGGCCTATTTTCTTTTATTGCTAGTGGGGTGGGACTAAGTCCCTTGTACTGCGGCCACTTCTGGCCTGTTGTACCAGCCCCCAGATGATAGGTGAGGGTGATTGTGGAGCAATTGGTAGAAAAAAAAATTGGCAGGGGAAACCGAAGTACTCGGAGGAAACCTGCCCCAGCGCCACTTTGTCCACCACAAATTCCACTTGACCAGACCCGGGATCGAACCCGGGCCGCCGGGATGGGAAGCCAGCGACTAACCGCTTGAGCTATAGCGAGGCCCAAAGCAGGCCTAACTAACACGTTCTAAGAACGGCACATGAGAATTGTAACATTAAATTAACTTCCTTCTTAAAGTAAGCAGATGGAGCTAACAACCGAAAATAATTTTTTAACTTCGGCTTTCGGGGTTTAGCTGCCTCGTGTGATGAAGCTGTGTCAATATTTCGGCGAACATTGCAGTCACCATCTTCATGGAGAAAGTGAGACTGAGGGATGAAGTGGACCGATATTATCCGGGAATCTAGATTTCCAAAGGAGACTTCTTCGTGACATTTTTTATTTGTTTTATTTAAAAAACGCTCTCACTAGGTAAAAAAAATTAAAGCTATCCCTGTACCAGGCCGTGAAGGCCCATAGGTTTGTGAGACGTTGAGGGTCCCACATTATCTAGACAATCGGCTCAAAGATGGCGGTAAGGTTGTCAGCCTTACGCGCCGGCTGCGCGTTACTCCCCAGGAAAATTATTTAATTAATTCCTGGTACTCATTTCTGTTAGAGGCTGAGTACACCCCAGGGCCTAGTGAGGCTGGAAGGATTAGAAGAATATAAACCTTTGTATGATTAGATGACAGCGAATAATCAATATGAAAGGATGTGGGAGGAAGCTGCCTCTGTATAATTTAAGGTACTATCCTGGAATTCTTCTGGATTGACAGGAACTCCACGGAANCCCAGCTCTACTGATTAAAGTAAAGAACCCAAAGAAGTGAGCGGTGGTGGAGTGGCGCACAACGAAACGGGCACAAAGGAAGTGAGCGGTTACACCTCCTGACAAACGTTACTAAGGTATCAGTGATTCGTTTTCTCCGAGCCAACATATTCCTCCAAGGATCGCGGAAGTTGTCCTTACTCAGTCTCTTCCACATGCGTGGCACATCTTGCAGTATAAGTTTCTTGTACATTGGCACTGGCGACTTCTATCGGATATGCAACTTCTACAGTCGGATCGTAACGTTCTCCTTTCAAATAAAGTAAACTGATTCCCTGTCTGGCACTATTAGTGATTACATTAATAACATTTTGGAACAGACCTACTTCTCAGACTCATTTGCAATTAATCGATTCTCGATTATCTCAATGTCCATCTGTTGCTGATATGAATGAAATGTTGACATAGATAATCAGCTATGCAGATGCAAGATATGATACAAGCTCGACACGGACCAAAGTGGGATTCAGAAGGCAAATTTCAGCGTAGAATTGAAAACCACATTTCATCGAAATCCACAGATTAGTTGTGAAGATGCCTGCAAATGGCAGTGCAATTACGATCTCTCTGTTACGAGTGTTCGTCTATGCATCTCATACTATGGGCGCATACGTAGGTCTATTAATAGACCTTATGCCTACATGTATATTAACAACATGGTCTACGGAATACCACATGTAGCGAGGACGTGTTCTTACTGGTTCGATATGAACGTGAGATTTTCCTCAGTTCCTGTAGCCAAATATTGAAATTGTTCTTTGAAAGAGGGCATGACCTGTTCTCTACACTTCCTGGTTAATTCAGACTGATACAGCCATCACATGGCGTGTAACCCATGCAGCTGACATCGCTAAGTAAGCCAGGGGAAAAAAAACACCCACGCGTGTAGGTAGTGCAAACGACCTTTCTGAGGAAGGAGACACCTGTCGAAGTCTGGTTTTGTGCAAATATTACCGGATCTCACAGTCGCCATTTTCTCACTCTATTTCTGTTTCTCTTTCAAAATTTGTTCTCTTGAATGTGGACACAGCGACCATTCAGAATATAATTGACTCTTTTATGAGTTTCTTTACGTTCAATCACACATTAGCCCACCCAAATGTAAATAGCTCTATTTGCTCGAAATTAAAATATAAATAAAGGTACAAAACTAAGAAAATAGAACAGGTCAGTGCCATAGAAATTATCTATACTTTTCTTCAGATGCATCGCACGTTTCAAATCTCGGCCGGATTATTGGCTGCCTGGAATAAGGTACAGCATTCTGTGACTTTCCCAGCTGTTGCAGGCAAATTCTGAACAGACACCACATCCCATTCCTTCCACACCCATTCATAGACATCCTTCCCTCAATTGGTGCTTGGACCTGACGTAAGCACTTGGTGTCTTTAAGTCACTCACTCACTCATTGAGCTGAGCCCTTGAAGCTGCCAATTGAGCAGCCGGTCACGGTAGACAAGCAGTCTAAGGCATGCACTGTCTTCGCTCGCTCGGAAGCCGGGATCGTGGGTTCGAATCCCATACAAGGCAAGGATATTTAGTGTGTGTATACGTTTATTCTATAAAACTAAGTATATGTTACTGTCTCGTCACCAAAATGCAGGGCAAAATCATGACATAAAGATAGGAAACAGATTCAGATATTTGGGAACAACGATAACAGATCGAAACCTGATTCAGGAGGAAATTAAGAGGCGATTGAGCTCGGGTAATGCTTGCTACCATTCAGTCCAGAACCTTTTGTCTTCTTGCCTATTGTCCGAAAACATAAAAA